TTCGGGAGTTTTTTCCGGCTCTTTGCATTCCTGGCTCGTCAATATCGGACATGCACGCTAAACTTGAGGCCGATACGGTTAGTCGTTTATATAACCTTACAACTTTCAAAGAGTAGAAAGTTGGTGGTTGGCGGGGGCTCTGGTGTGGTTTGCTTCTTCTTTCCTATCAAACATCTATTGTCTCTATCTCTCCTCCTTCTTTGTTGTGTTTGTTACTCTCTTGTAACATCTCTAATCTTGGGCACTTATGTGACCTTACTGTGTTACAAGTGCCGTAAAACTCTAACTAAAACTAAACTAAAGAGTAGAAATGGGATTTAGGTCATACAGGATGAGGTTACCAAATCGTCAGCCAAAGATCATAAATACTGGTGGCTTGATTCCAGTTTGTTTTTTCTCTCGCTACAAAGCGTTAAGTCTCTAATCCTACCCCGGCGCCAGCTCACCAAGCACTCGCACATTTTTCGTCTCATTAGGGCGCCGTAAAGATACGTTCTGGCGTGAGTGGTTCACCGAGAAATGGCTCACATTCTTGGCCAAGACTTCCTCCTTCCTGACTGTCTGCAGACTTGACTGTCGTGTTGCTCACCCCATCCACATAAGTTGGAGTAGAATCTACACGTTTCGTGTCCGTGAGTTGGGTTTAAATTTCTTAAGACATAATATATGTAATTGAAGACAGCATCTGAGATTTAATGTTAGTATTCCGTTAGGAACTGAGATACGATGTGGTTGATACTGTTTAAAAACAAACTATAAGTTAAAACCCTGAATTATTTACCCCATCCCCCAAAAATTAGAATTCCCTTTGCAGGGACAAACAGACAGACACACAGACAGACACACTGAAAGGCAGACATACAGTGACCACTGTCCACCACTGATATGTGCACGGACACATAGACAGACGAACAGACACACAGACAGACATTCCTACAGACTCACAAACAGACACACAGAGAAACAGACATTAAGTGACCACTATCCAGTTCTGACCTGTGCACGGATAAACAAATAGACACACATACAGACACACAGACAGATCTAGAGACCACTGTCCAGCACTGACCTATGAACGGGCACACAGACAGACAAACAGACAGACATACTGACAGACACACAGTCAGACAAACAGACACATAGACTGACACATTGACAGACACACAAACAGACAAACAGACACACAGACAGGTCTAGTGACCACTGTCCAGCACTGACCTGTGCACAGACAAACAAACAGACAGACAGACACACAGACAAACAAACAGACGCACAGGCAAACATGTGTTGACCACCACCCACTACTGACCTGTGCACTCTCAAACAGACAGCCACACACAGGCAAACAAACAGACAGACAGACGTAGAGTGACCACTGTCCACTACTGACCTGTGCACCGAGTGTTTCCTCTTGGTGGTGGAGGAGCTCAGACGAGAGGGCATCTCCCTCATGACGTCATGGTGGTCAACTTTGGTCAGGGGAACCTGCTGCCCGTTCTCCTCTTCCACCATCATACCTCCGTTATCCACCACTTTGCTGTCTTCCTCCTCCTCCTCTTCCTCGTCCTCTTCCCCTCCTCTCCTCTGTTCCTCTGTGTCCTCCTCCTCCCCGTCTCTCCCCGTCACTTTCGGCTCTCCCTGTCCGCCTGACATGGTGTTGGGCTCAGACACGACGTAAGTTCCGGAGCGGAGGGCGTTTAGTAGTGAGAAGCGGGACAGCCGGGCAGGAACTGAGGACACAATATATACATGGTTGTTTAAGTTAAGAGTTTTATGGCATTTGCAACTCGAAAAGGTCTTGAAAGAGTGCTGAAGATAACAGGGGTTACAAAAGAGTAATAAATAAAAAAGAAAGCAAGGAGAGGAAAACAATTGAGGAGTCGACGGGAAAGATGGGAATAAAGTCACAAACTGGAAATTGCGAGGGTGTCAATTTTAAAAGCTTGTGGACTCATAACTTCGTATCAAATTGTTTGACAGGTGTTTTATTGTTGTGTTTATTAAATGGGAATTCCAACAACAATAATCAGCCAAAAGTTGAACTGAAATATAGTTTTGAGTCAACAAGCGTTCAAAACTGATACCCTCACGATTTTCAGTTTGTGACTATTCCCATTTTCCCGTGGACTTTTCAATTAAAATTTTCAATTACAATTACATGTTGGTATTAGGGCGGATAGCAGTTCCCACACTCTAGGGAGATTAAAGGAGAAGGGGATCCAAAGAGGAGAGGGGAAACACAGCCATCTGTGCAGACCAGTCCGACGGACCTCCAACCAGATCGTGATGGAGACTATAAGTAGACAGACTCTGGGATGGATCCTGAAGAGGGGGGGAGAGCCGAGATGGACATGTTCCGACTGCTGTGACCCCAACACAGTGGACAAGTAAGTAAGTAATTACATGATTCTGTGTTTTTCCGCCACACACAGACATAATTTAGATCATTTAAGAAGCGGGCCTCCGACCTTGCCTGCCAGGGCCTGCCAGGGTTGAGAGGAATACAACATCCCAGGAGAAAGACCGAGATATTGGATAGCAAATATTTCTAAGCAATGTGGAATTGAACCCGGGTCTCCTGCGTTCGACAGCTAAGCGCTTAATCGCTACACCATAGACCCTTGTTTGGTTCTTGTAAGAGTTTTACGACACATGAAGCAAGACAAACACATGTACTATTTTATATCATATAAATGCCGAAGATTAGTCGTGTTGCAAGAGATTAACATACACAAAGAAAAGGAGCTAGGGATCAGGACGACAGACAGATGGGGTGGGGGAGGGGGGGGGGAAGTGGGGAGACATCTCCTTTTCATATCAAAGAGCAAAACCGCTGGTGTGGAAACATTTAGGACGCTCACACCAAAAGGTCACAGGGTCACAGAGTTTGTGCTCCCACGCGCCAGGTTCAGAGGCGACGGACAGCGGTGTTGAGAGATCGCTCATGTCTTTATCACTGGGCCAAATCTGAAATTTGTACCTCTGGTGCTCACTGGCATGATGTGTGTGCATCTCATTTCTTGGGTGTGGCTTGGTATGGCTAGGGTGGGGGGG